TGATTTTTGGTTGCCAAATGCAGTATTACCTGTTGGGACATTTACCAGCTTTCAATTTGCTTTATCGTTTGTCACAAAAAATAGTTCATTAAATAAAAAAAAAATAATAACTGTTGCTTTAATGTGCATGTATAGCTCTATTATTGGAACACATTATTGGTGTCCAGTAGATGGCAGTGTTGACTGCAGATTTTGAGTAGTTTGTTTTTTCCTCAACATTTGGATTCTTGTGTTCACTTGGTGATACTGTGAAATAGAAAGGTGTTGCTTGGCTGGTTGAACACAAAGCAAAAGCTGAATTAATTCATGGCACAGTGCTGCAAATTGATTTGACGTATGTGAGGTTACGAGCAAAGATCTTTAAGCTTTCCACACCCGTTTCCTTTTGCAAACATGAAACATTTTGTGAGGAAATTCTGTGAATGATTTCTGATGATGGCAATAATATTTAACTAATGAGAACAGTCTTTCTACTGTTCTTTAGATGCCCCCAAATCTGGGTTGTCTGGCAGTCCAGGAACCTTATAAGCAATACCTGTATGTCATTTGAAGTGTGGTGGTCCAGTGACCATGGCAAATGACAGATATAAATGGAGATTTCTCTCCCTATTTGACTTTGTATTGTTAATTGCTTGCCTTCTTTGTATGCTTTCTTGTACTATTTCTCATCCATCTCTATCTTCCTTTGTGTCATATTCCCTGGTGGAGTTTGTGTTTATAAGCTAGTGAGAAAGAACAATAAAACAAGTGAATAAAACAGAATGAATTAAATTAGTTGATTACCTGCAAACACACACAGACATGCATGTGCACACATGTACATATATCCACTCACACACAGATCAAATGGTGAGCTGAGGTCTGGCCCTAGGGCATGAACATGGATTAATGTGCCCAGGGCGATTATTTCATTTATAACTGTCCTGGACCTTTTCAGATAAGACCATTTTTCAGGTTGCCATCCATTAGCACCTTTAGACTGCATCTATTAGCCTGCCAAGCACTCAGAGCGCCATTTAAAGGGCCAGTGCCCTCCCTGTTTAGCTTGCATTGTAAAGCACTTTTAAAGAGGAGTCAAGGTTGTCTAGG